GCAGAACTTTATTGATCCCTTTATTGATGACGGGGCTGGCCCAGTGTGAGGAGGATGACTTTATTCAGAACTGGGCCCTTGGTGCAGTAATGAGCAGCAGCCTGCAGCGGCGCCCCCTGGTGGCCTGAGCTACAGAGAGAGGAAGGAAGGTAACCTGGCTTCTCTAATGGCCTCCTTGTGAGCCTGGAACATCTTCACGTTGTTCATGTTGGACTGCCAGTACTTGACGTAGCCGCTGTGGTCCGCCGTCAGCATCCACATGTCGTTGTGGGACCAGGTCATGGCGCGCACCGGGCTGTCGTGGGCCTGCAGACACAGAGGGGGGCGGGGGGTAAGGTGGTTGCTCAAACCAGAACCGCACAGAGAACCGAGGTTCTGCTCCACCACCGACCGACAGACCGACAGACCGGGTTCTCTGGGGTTCTAAAGACGATCCAGTGGAATGAGTTTAGAGCATGACATCACTGGTGACTGCAACCAATCAGATCACAGCAGGCTGACACCGTTTGGACCTGGAACCGGTTCAGGAGTCCAGAGAACAGTTCTGAATCATCTCCCCCACGGGTCTGATAGAACCGGCAGCGGTTCTGGAGGGCCCGGCTGCCCTGCCTGTGGACCTTTACCTGCAGGATGGTCTCAAAGTTGAAGGTGAGTCCGTTCCACAGGGTGAACTCTCCGCTGGACGCTCCGGTCACCAGGCGCCGGCCCTCAGGGGTCCACTGCACACAGAACCAGCAGAACCGCTTAGATCCAGACACACACAGGAAGTGATGCGACACGGCAGCGGCGGCTCACCCTGATGACGAAGACGGGACACTTGACCTTGTTGGTGGAGGTTCTGACGAACTTGGTGGTGACGGCGTTCATGGGGTTGTTCAGCATGCCCAGCGGGGGAACCAGCTGCAGAGAGAACACAGAGTCAGGTTCTGATCCAGACCAGACCGCACGCCCGGCGCCTCGCCGCCATCAGGACTCACGTCATTATAGCAGCCGGCGTCCGGTTGGATGGCCCTCAGGTCCCGCTGGTCCCGCTGCCACAGGCGGTTCTGAAAACAGGCAAAGTGGAGCGGTTAAGGTGGGTCAGAACCGCGCTGAGCCCAGCGGGCGGACAGCGGCGTACCTCCAGGTATCTGATGACAGACGGGTTGTAGTCGATGGTCTTCCTGTTCACAGCCTTCCTCATGCGCTTCCCGTCGAAGGTCAGCTGCTGCATGGCCTGCTGCTGCGCGAAGTCCGGCCGCTTGTAGAACACCTGCCGCGGCGCCTGGTGCTGGAACCGCGGCATGTGGAAGAAGCGCTGCGGCGAGCCCACGTCCGTCGCCATGGTGACCAGACCAGCCTGCAGCGGACAGACCAGACACCACCTGCTTATTACAGATTACACAG